CCCCCCATTTTTTCTATATTATTGTTGCACCAACCCACCAGAACAACTTTCTCCTGCTGTGTTAACTGTACAGGGCACTAAACCTGTTTCTGATTCAAACCAGTGTAAACATTTTCTGAACTACTTGGTGGTATGTGGTTGAATGGGGGGCTGTTTTTGTTATCAGAGGGCATCTGTATGGGAATGTGAAAGGGTTCAAAAAACATCTGCCAGAAAAACACAACTCCAGGTCAGTGTATCCTATAACAGAGGTCATTATTAGCTATAATATATATATACGGGGTGGCCAGGTTTTAGTCTGTGGCCTTTCCTTTGTGGCTGATCAGTGTACATCCTTTTAATCAAATTCGTCCAGCTCTATCAGATTTTGCCTTATTATTGTTTCGGTGTGGAACAGCTGCACAACGCATTTCCCTGCACGTTATACCTGCATGTATAACTGTGTTTGTGACCAGTAAAGACCTTGAATCCTCTTTGAACTGCAGTAATGGTCAATAAAATATCACATCGATTTGCTTCATCTGCCTGTGAATAGTATGTAAATAATAAACAAGCTTTTATTACAGGAAGACAATAAACCACATAACACAAGGGATGTATTTTCAATTTAATTTCTTTTAATATAATCTTATTTACATGGTATTTGTTCATAAATGTTTAGTACATAGTAAGTTACAATACTTTTGCATCCATTACACAGTGAACTCAGACCCTAGGATGCAGATTGAAATGATCCTGCGTAACAGTCTTCAATCTACAACAGATCCAAACATTTTTCCACGTTGATCGCTCAACATTTAGGTTTTTGATTTCATTCACTTCTATGGAGCAGTAACGACTGTTAAGAGACTCATTCGCGGTGGTCTTGAGGATGACGACTGCTTTGCCTAACATTCGGGCTCTGGAGAAGAAAGATGGGCACAGACACATCAGGGCCACGAAGAATTTAAAAAACAAGGTGGTGAAGTGGTTGATGAAACATGTATAAAAAGGCTTAAGAAATTTCTATTATACACGTCATGTGTAACCAAAGAATTCCTGAAGCTAACTCCTTTGCATCTTCACGGCTCATTTTGGAAAAAAAAAACAAACACATCCAGGTCATGCCCATGAACCTCTCAGTTAGTCAGCACAGTCAGATGTTGTAACTGGGGCTGGGAAAAGCCACTTCCCTTTCACTTCAATAAACGTAACATGGCATTTAAAACACCGACACACTGACAGTCTTCATACACTGACGAGAGCATTTCTCAGCAGAAATATGAATGTTAAAAAAAAATGTAACAAGACTCATTAAAACCCACTCTGAGAGTCGCGTGTGAATGAACCCTTCAGCTCTGGTAGGAGGGGGCGATGAAGAGATTAGTGTGGGCTCCTGGTAGAGCAGATAGCAGCTTGGTCAGTAATCACTTAGTAATAAATAATAAAATATCAGAGTGGATCAGAGTGGTCGCAGATACAAACAGAAGAGACAAACAAGTTACCAAACAGAGGAGCAGGCTCATTTGATCGTTTTTACAGCGTAACTGAGTGCCATGCCTGACACAAACACACACACACACACACACACTCTCACTCACTCTCTCACCAACTCACGTGCGCACTCACGTGAACATGCGCACATTCTGACATACAACAGTGGTTAAACATGAAGCATGAATACTAGTCAATCAGTTTGTCAGACAGAAAGACAGCCTCTGCCTTGTTCTTTACAAATCTGATCTCAGCGTCTCTGTTCACAGGCTCGTGTGTGATTTGCTGATTCCGTCCGAGGACTTCGAGTGCGACTGGAGTTTCCTGTGGGGTTAGACATTCGGAAGAATGACATCATAGCTTGGAGAAAACGAAGGATAAAAAATCCTTCTTAAAACCTTTGAAAAAATTTAAAATATTTTTTTTCTTTTTTTTGTTTTCCTCTCCTGCTGGGTTTCCTCCTGTAACCCAGAGCAGTTCGGTGGCAAGAGACTGTGTGTTCTTAAGTTGCTTGGATGCTCCGTATACTCCGTGTATACTTGATATTCTGTTGGTGTGTATGCATACATGTAAAATGTCAAATAGTTGTGTGCAAGTGCTAGCGCAAATGTGATTATGTGTACGTTGGCTCCGGTTGTGGATTCACTCCACAGCGAAGCCACAGGTCTCCTCCACGGCCGTCAGCAGTTTCTCATAAAGTTTCTCGTAAGACTCGTAGGGAGGGATGTCTATCCTGTTGAAACTAGAGCCGGAAGAGAAACAACAGTTATCTGAAATGTCACAGAAATGCAGATATAACAAGCATCTGTTATGCGTCCTCACCATGTGTGAGCCTTGGGTAGGTTGTCTGTGTTGGCGTCTATCAAATGGATGGTGAAGAGCCTTGGTCCTGCAGAACCTGTAGAACCTTACACACATACATTCTAGTTAT